AAACGATGGAAAAGATTTGGAGAAATGATAGTAGCTTTAAAATGCTTAGATAATTCTCATAATAAGTTCGAAGAATTTTTACAAGAGGTATATAATAATATTTAATATGAATTCTTAACAAATATAATTTGCACTTTTTTAAAAAATATATTACTAAATTTTAGGTTAAGTTTCATATAAATATAGAATTTGGAAAATGTACTATATGGTGTTATGGATTAACTAAGGATCCGAATACTAATGAGTTTATGATGGTTTTGGAATATGCGAAATGTGGAAATCTTCGTAATTATTTAAGAAATAATCACAATACGTTATCATGGCTCAACAAAATAGAAATATTAAAAAGCATTGCAACAGGGCTTACTGCTATTCATTAGTCGGGATTAGTTCATGGAGATCTTCATATGGGAAATGTCTTGTATGATGATGACTACAATGGAGCAAATATTACAGATTTAGGATTAAGTTTTTCTGTAAATAATATAAATAACTCTCGTGCTGGAAAACAACAAATATATGGTGTTTTACCTTACATTGCACCAGAAATTTTGCTGTCAAGAAAATATACACAAGCTTCAGATATATATAGTTTTGGAGTTATTATGAATGAGTTGCTTTCTGAAAAACCTCCTTTTAGTAAAATTCCACATGATATGCATTTGGCATCTGATATTTGTAAAGGCTCACGTCCATCAATTAAAAATGAAATGCCAGATCTACAGTATTTAAGCAGCTTATTCATAAATGTTGGGATATTATACCAATGAATAGACCAAGTGCAAGTACATTAACAGAAATATTTAGTAACTGGATGGTGGAAGTTGATGATCCAAATTCGGAATTATATATTCAGATTAAAAAATCTGAAGAACTTAAAACTAGAGATATTGCCTTTTTACAATATACATTTAAAATGCAATCCGAAGCATGCTATACAAGTAGATTATACAACCTTTCAAATTTACCAAAACTTGATAGTTTAAGTATGTATACGCGGCCC